GAGAGACTTGTTGGAAGCTGCATAGCACTCCCTCTGGTGGCCGAGGCGACTGTCCTGGTACTCGAGGGGGTCAGTTTGGTACTAGAGGCCGTGGGGCCAATGCACGAGCCCATCTTTCAGACATTATTGCGCCACTATCTTCATCTCCAGTTGTCTCCTCCGCTGCTGATGTTTCAAGGTTATCTGCCTCGGATTTTGAAATTGTTCTTTGCCACTTGCTAGATCGTTGAGCCTCCATTTCTGCTACAGGTGCACTTTCTTCTTCCTTTGCCAATTCAGGTAACTTAGCTTCCTCCCCATGTGCATTGCTATCTCATACGACTGTACCATGGATTATTGATTCCGGTGTTTCCGACCATATGTCTAGCTCTTCTAATTTATTTTTAGAGTATATCCCCTTCTCAGGTCAGGAAAAAGTGCGTATTGCTGATGGTACCATTTCCTTTGTGTCAGGAAAATGTTTAATTCATGTCACTTCTTCCTTTCCTTTGTCTTCTGTCCTTCATGTTCTCAATTTTAGTGTTAATCTTTTATCTTTGAGTCGTATCACCCGTTACTTAAATTGTAATGTGACATTTTTTCCTGATCGTTGTCTTTTTCAAGACCTTATCACGAGGAAGAGGATTGACAGTGGTAGAGAGGAACATGGGTTCTACATTCTAGATCAGACAGACAAGCTGACTCATTAATCTATTTAGTTACCATCCACCAAGGAAGACAGTTGGCTGTGGCACCGTCACTTAGGACATCCCTATTTTTTATTACTTAAGCATTTATTTCCCTCTGTTTTGGAGAAAAATAATGTGTCAGATTTTCAATCTAAGTCTTGTCAACTTGGAAAACAACACAGAGTCTTTTTTGCTCCTTCTATTAATAAAAGTTTAGTTCTCTTTTCTTTGATTTATTCTGATGTATGGGTCCATCCCGTTTTGTGTCGTTAATTGATCAAAAATGGTTTGTTACCTTCATAGATGATTGTTCCAGGGCCACTTAGGTCTATTTGATGAAAGATAAAAGTGAGGTTTTTTCTGTGTTTCAAAACTTTCATAAAATGGTTTGTACGTAGTTTGGGGCGGTTGTCAAAATTCTACGTTATGATAATGGGGGGGAATATATTGGCTCTGGTCTTGTCACTTACTTCGCCACGCATGGCATTATTTACCAGACTTCATGCACTAATACCCTTGAACAAAATGTTGCTGCGGAACGCAAAAATCGCCATCTCTTTGATGCTGCCCATTGTCTATCCTTTGAGATACGGGTTCCTCGATCCTATTGGGGGGAAGCGGTTCTCACTGCCGCTTGTTTGATTAATCGTCTTCCTACCCAAGTCCTTCAAAAACAAACACCTCTTCAAGTTTTGTTTGGGTCTCTCTCTTTTGGGTTCTCCATTGCTCCTAAGATCTTTGGCTTTGTTTGCTTTGTCCATAATCATTCTCCCACTCGTGGTAAATTAGATCCTAGGTCACTTAAGTGTGTTTTTCTGGGTTATTCTGCCACCCAAAAAGGTTATCTGTTATCACCCTCCCACTCGCAAATGGTTTGTCTCCATTGATGTCACGTTCTTTGAGTCTTAGCCTTACTTTTCGCCTTCCCCGGTATCTCAGTCATCTCTTCAGGGGGAGCCTTGGTGTGAAGAGATTCTTTTTCCGCCTGTTTCTCTTCTGCCAGTGGTTGAACAGATAGAGGATGATGAGCCAGCAGTTGTTGAGGACAAGGAAGCAGGCAAAGTTTATATTCGGGACAAGGACAAACAACAAGTCACTTAGATACAAGAGCCTACTCTCCCTAAGAGTTCAGGTAATTCTAATTCTAGTACTCCTATTCTTGATGTTCCTGATCTTGATGTTCCTATTGCTAATAGGAAGGGAGTTAGGTCATGTACTCAACATCCTATTACTAATCATGTCTCTTATTTTAATCTGTCTTCCTCATATAAAGCCTTTCTGTCTAATATATCTTCTGTGAGTCTATCTACCACTTTTCACGATGCTCTCTCTATTCCTGAATTTAAACATACCATGATAGAAGAAATGCAAGCTCTCAGCAAAAGTGGCACTTGGGAGTTAGTAGAGTAATAGAAGAAAAAACCAGTTGGGTGTAAGTGGGTGTACACGGTAAAACAGAAAGCATATGGTTCCATAGAGCGGTACAAAGCAAGATTGGTTGCTAAAAGCTTCACTCAAACTTATGGAGTAGATTACCAGGAGACATTTGCAGTTGTTGCTATATGAATTCTGTGAGAATCTTACTCTCTCTTGCTGTCAATTTGGATTGGTCACTTCATCAATTTGATGTGAAGAATGCCATCTTTCATGGAGACCTAACAGAAGAGGTCTATATGGATATTCCTCTTGGTTTTGCAAATGCTAAGTCCAAAGGTAAAGTACGCAGGCTCCGAAAGCCGCTTTATGGACTAAAGCAGTCCCTTAGGGCTTAGTTTGAAAGGTTTGCTCAAGCTATGCTGAAATATGGGTTCAAGCAGAGTCAAGCTGATCACACCTTGTTTGTGAAACACTCCTCACATGGTAAGACCACAACTCTCATTATTTATGTTGACAATATTGTTTTGACAGGGAATGACGTTGAGGAGATCCCTCGGTTGAAGGAATATTTAGTCAAGGAGTTTGAAATCAAAGACTTGGGTAGTTTGAAGTATTTCTTAGGTATTGAAGTAGCTAGGAGCAAGGATGGCATCTTTATATGTCAGAGAAAGTATGTGCTTGATTTGCTAAAGGAAACTAGACTGTTTGGAGGTAGAGCATGTGATACACCTCTAGAACCAGGCTAGAAACTCAGTGAGGATCAAGAGGGAGAGCCAATGGACAGGGGGAGATACCAGAGACTAGTGGGTAAGCTTATATACTTATCCCACTCACGTCCAGACATTGCCATTGCCGTGGACATGGTGAACCAATTTATGCATGCTCTTAGAACTTCCCACTTAGAGGTAGTTATGAGAATCCTGAGATACCTGAAGTCTTCTCCTGGAAAGGGTTTCTATTTCTCAAAACATGGCCATCTCAGTGTGGAGGCATTTACTGATGCAGATTGGGCAGGATCAGTCACTGACAGACAATTAACTTTTGGATACTGCATATTTGTTGGTGGCAACCTAGTCACATGGCAAAGTAAGAAACAGAATGTGATTGCTCGATCAAGTTCTGAGGCAGAATTCAGGACTATGGCTCAGGGTGCATGTGAGTTACTATGGATTAAACTATTATTGGGAGACTTGGGAATTCATCAAACTAACTCCATGTGACTATACTGTGACAACAAGGCTGCAATCAACATTGCTCATAATCCAGTTCAGCATGATAGAACTAAGCATGCGGAGATTGATAGGCACTTTATCAAGGAAAAACTTACTAGTGGCACCATATCTATTCCATTTGTGAAGACTGGGGACTAACTAGCTGATGTTCTCACCAAGGGACTAGGAAGCAAATCCTTTCATGGCATTCTCAACAAGCTGGGCATGAGAGATATCTTTGCACCAGCTTGAGGGAGAGTGTTAGAATAGGAAATAATTGATTGTATTCTTATTTATTCTCTGGATTGATTGCTCAAAATTATGCCTTATGGCACTCCTGTAATTGCTCAGAATTATCAATATAAAAGGGAATGAAGTCTAACTCATTCCCCAACTCTTTCTCTTCTCTAAAACTACAGTTTGTAGATCTTGGTCCTTTATATCTAGTCTTGCTTTGATCATCTTTAAGAGAATAGTTCATAGATTTCTCAAAAGCTAATGCTTTAAAAACCTTTTGAGTACATGTCTCATTCTATAATAATTCCTAACCCTATTGGTTACCTTATATATACAGAAATAATAATTCATTTCTTTGTTGTATCTAATTATATTTGGTCGTTGACTTTGTAAATCAAACTTTTATTGGCAACATGTAACTAACTACTTAATTAACTTCGTTTATACAGGTGGGTTAACAACATTGGTTGACATGCCTCTTAATAGTTTTCCATCTACAATTGCCGAAAAAGCTTTTGAACTCAAGGTATGGATGGTTAGCACCATTAGTTTTTCATTTTTCACCATGGAGACTGCTTAAAGTTAAAGCATGCTTATATCTTTATGTTTAGCTCTTCAATTTTCATTTTAAAAATCATTATAGTAAGCTTGCAATAATCATCATAAGCCTATCTCAACTCACTTAAAGAGAAATTTTGGCAAGGAAATTTGGAACAATTAAAAAATCAGACTTGGTTGGATTTTAAAAGCCTATTATTGATGAAAACTTGTAGTGAAGTGACCTTGAAGATGGTGCAATTTATAGTTCTACGAGATGTCTAATAAAGTTTCAGATTCTGTTTTTCTGCAGAAGAATTGTATCAACTACAGGCAGTAATGGATTCTTTTTGACGTGATTAGTCTCCCACCAAAAACAACCCATATCCTGCCAAAATAAGAAAGAAAAAATCCTACCAAAACAGCTTGTATCATTTACTCAATTCCATTCATAATGATGATATTGGTTACAATTTACAAAAATTAATTAGATCTAAGGAAGATCTCGCATCAGACAGATGAACAATGTGAAGATGAGCTCCTTCAGCAGGGCCACCAGCCCTTGCGTCGTTTGCTACTGTTAAGAGCTCTCTATTAGCTGCCTCTTCCTTAGTCATCATAGTAAAAATGAGCGGAAGGAGAACATTATCCATCCATGTAAGATGAAATTAACATAAATCAAGCAAATCATAGTACATAAATACATTATTTTAAAGGCTGCTAGTTTTCAGAGTCATATTTGTGTTTATCTACTTCTACCTTCAAAGTATGAAAAGAATGCCTCGTGTGAATTTTAGGATGAATGTATTTACATACTATGGTTTGCTTGATTTATGTTAATTTCATCTTAAATGGATGGATAATGTTCTCCTTCTGCTCATTTTTACTATGATGACTAAGGAAGAGGCAGCTAATAGAGAGCTCTTAACAGTAGCAAACGACGCAAGGGCTGGTGGCCCTGCTGAAGGAGCGCATCTTCACATTGTTCATCTGTCTGATGCGAGATCTTCCTTAGATCTAATTAAGGTATGCTAGAGTTTCTCTTTGTTCTTATAGATATAAAATTCTAATCCAAACATAAAAAATGAGTTTTAAATAATAATAAAAAATGATAGTTTTAATAAAGTAAAGATGTGCTATTTGTAATAAAATTGAAACTGGGACCCCCAACATTGCATCCCAGCTATTATTAGATGACCCCTGTATTAAATTCAAATCTAGAAAAGGTCAAGGTCCAATCCAAAATATTTTTGGGACCACCTTTAGGCTCTGGTTATTCATCTCTCTCTCTTTTGGATCAATTTCCAAATTTTTACTACACACATTCTGAAGAGTTCTATCAAGAAACAATGTTTCAAAATAATCTTCTACCAGGCAGATGAATTTTAGTTACTTTTTAAATGAAGTATAGTGGAAAATGATCTAAAAATTCTGAAAATGGAATTTTTCTAAGTCCATAGCCTCATTGTTACTTGTTCAAAGTTTTGGAAAGTTTTACCAGTACTTTTATGAAGAATTAAAGATTCTATTCTCATTTCAGTTCCTTGTTTGTCTAGGAAGCAAAAAGTGGTGATAGCAATGGTGATAGCACAACTATTGGATTTGGAGCATTACCACATCAAAAGTCGTTGCACAGGTATGGATAGTTTTGGATATGACTTTGATGAATGGATTTCTATAATCTTTGGTTAGTTTTGGATTTGTTTAAAAACCTAGATAAGAATAGAGTTTTTGGGTTGTGTAGAACTTTTTGGATGGTTTTGAACTTAAGGATAGTTTTTAAAGCTTCACGAACATAGTTTTTGGATGTTTGGAATGTATAAACAATTATTGGATGTTCATGATTGGATATAATTTGTTTTTGATATTTTAAAACAATATTTTGGTGGTTGATTGATGCTTTGTGAAGCTTGTTTATAATGTTTTCTTAGATTATATAGAGCAAGTCAAATAGAACCTGCCGAATTAAAAAGTACATATACATATTCTACGGCCAGCAAAAAAGTCCGTTTTATGAAATATTCAACAAGCAAAGAGTGTTGTGGTTTGTCCCACGAATTAACAGCGTGTAAAAGTAGTAGTAGAAATCTTAAAACACTACACACAAAATATATTGTTTAAGGCTTTTTAACGGCGTATTGTGACATGCCATTGAAGTGAATGACTTTCCATGATTGGTTATTATACGACTTTACAGCGCGCGTTGTAGAACCATCATCATGGCGTGCATTTCATGTCGTTAAAAGTGAGTATTATAAATATAAAATTTCATTCTCATGCCAACACATTTCATCTTCACAAAACTAAATCATTTTATCTATTTTTCTCAACACGTCATTTCATGAAAATCCACTTATTGAAACATCATGTGATTGTATTCTACAATATTTTTTCATGTCGTATTTCAGGTCTTCTTGTACTTCATCTTGCATTCGAATTCTTGTCATCATTCCAAATTAGGAATATGTTTCACTGGGCAAGCCAAAAATTGTTGGTAGAATTTTTGTTAGGCTTAGATCGACAGAGACTTAACTAAAATCTAGAGGGAGACAGAAGCAAGGAGACGATCGCGATCAGAAGCGAGAGAGAGGGAGACGACGATCGCGATCGCGATCTCGATCAGGATCAGAAGCGAGGGAGAGAGAGAAGGCGAGAGAGAGAGTGAGCTCTGCGAAGGCAAAGGCGAGACAGAGAGAGAGCTCTGCGAAGGCGAAGGGGCTGGATCGTCGAAGTAGAATGGGGCTCTGGATCGTCGATCGAAGTCGAAGGGCTCTTGATCGTCGCCGACCAGGTTTGTTCTCGTTTTCCCCCTTTCAGTTACTCTTCTCGCCGTGTCCATGGCGTGTCCAGATTCGGACACGCGTGTCCCCTGCAAAAAAATAAATTAAATTAAGGGGACACGCCAGATGCTGTGTCCCGTACGTGTCCCCGACGTGTCCCCGTATCCGACACCGCCACGGCTTCCATTTTGCCATGTCTATGCTTCATAGCTGGTTGCTAAGGGTTTCACTCAAACTTCTAGGGTGGATTACCAGAGTGTCCCCGTATCCGACACCGCCACGGCTTCCATTTTGCCGTGTCTATGCTTCATAGATCATAGTACATAAGTACATTATTTTAAAGGCTGCTAGTTTTCAGAGTCATACTTGTGTTTATGTACTTCTACCTTCAAAGTATGAAAAGAATGCCTCGTGTGAATTTTAGGATGAATGTATTTACATACTATGATTTGCTTGATTTATGTTAATTTCATCTTACATGGATGGATAATGTTCTCCTTCCGCTCATTTTTACTATGATGACTAAGGAAGAGGCAGCTAATAGAGAGCTCTTAACAGTAGCAAACGACGCAAGGGCTGGTGGCCCTGCTGAAGGAGCTCATCTTCACATTGTTCATCTGTCTGATGCGAGATCTTCCTTAGATCTAATTAAGGTATGCTAGAGTTTCTCTTTGTTTTTACTACACACATTTCTGAAGAGTTCTATCAAGAAACAATGTTTCAAAATAATCTTCTACCAGGCAGATGAATTTTAGTTACTTTTTAAATGAAGTATAGTGGAAAATGATCTAAAAATTCTGAAAATGGAATTTTTCTAAATCCATAGCCTCATTGTTACTTGTTCAAAGTTTTGGAAAGTTTTACCAGTACTTTTATGAAGAATTAAAGATTCTATTCTCATTTCACTTCCTTGTTTGTCTAGGAAGCAAAAAGTGGTGATAGCAATGGTGATAGCACAACTATTGGATTTGGAGCATTACCACATCAAAAGTCATTGCACAGGTATGGATAGTTTTGGATATGACTTTGATGAATGGATTTCTATAATCTTTGAATAGTTTTGGATTTGTTTAAAAACCTAGATAAGAATAGAGTTTTTGGGTTGTGTAGAACTTTTTGGATGGTTTTGAACTTAAGGAGATGAATTTTTATGTGGATTTAGTGGGTTAGGTTTAGTGGAGTAGGTTTAAGTGGGTGAAGTAGGTGGAGAGTAGGTGGATTTTAACATTTCCAATCAAGAGAATTAATCGCTTTTCTTCCAATCTAAAAATAAATACATAAGTTAATTCTATACCCTCTCCCTTCCTCGCTTTCTAGCATCTGATATCAATTCTTTTTTTCAGGTCCTCAAGATGGCGGTTACAGATGCTGGCCACCAGGTCGTGGGCTCGTTTCTCTCGGAAAGTTTACAACAGCAAGTATGGTTTGTTTCTTTGTGTACATAATATGACACTTGACCTCATTTGTCTCTAATAATGAAAATACAATTTACAGAGCTGAGGCTGTGGATTTCAACAATTTGATATGAGACTAAATTTGTTGACCATAATGTTTAATTTATAATTTTGGAGCAAAATGCGTCCTTTCTATTTTTCTCATTTATGAAATCTCTAAAAAAAATTTGATGATTAATTACTGTTCTTTCTGATTACTTATTTTTGTTTTTGAATATTTATTTTTATAATATTTTCCTTTTTCAACTTGTTTATATTGCATATTTCTCAGGCATGATTCCTGAGCTTTGATTTTTCTCAAGTATAGTTTTGTTATATATATATTTTTTTCCTGTGCTCATTATGCTCAATCCTGCAGTTTAGCAAGCGTCTAGCATCGGTCATGAGGATTCTTAACGTTATGCAGGCATCTACGCTTGACTATCAGTTCATCATTCTGCCCCTTCTGAAGTCATTCATGCGGGTTTGACTTTTTAATGCAGCATAATTCTCTGCAATGTTATCCAACTTTCTTGGATCTAAATTTAAATTAGTCAGAATTTTTCTATTCCAGGAACTATTTGAGGTTTTGGTCGACAAAGACACAAAGAAGAAGGCAGATGCTGCAAGAGAAGCACTTTTATCAGAGATTGAACTGGAAGCCAAGAAGAAGAAAGATTTTGAGTCCAAGAAAAAGAATAAAAATCAGAGAAAGAATAAGGATCCAAAGGTTTTTAACTTTAGACTCTGGTTGTGTTTTTTACCATCAAGGTTGCTGTCATGTATGTCTTACATGTTTTGTACAAGTTCAGTCTAATACTCATAGCATGTTTTGTACAAGTTCAGTCTAATACTCATAGCATTGCAGGTTACTCAAGGTGATGACCTGTATGTACCGCAAGAGGAAACTGAAGAACAAGTGTAAGTCCTCAATTGTCTCTCAGCCGCAGATAGCACTGTTGAAAATTATTAAAAGATCACAGCTTTTTTCTAATATCGGCTCTAATGCACATTTTAAGTTTAATCTGGGTTTTCGATCTTTGTCTTCCTCCAGTCACTTTCCTGTTAGCTACAATGGTGATTATCCTAGTTCTGTGATTGTTGTTGCTGCAAGAGCTGATGAATTGGGGCTACAGGAAGAGGAACTTAAGCATGAAATTGAGCATGATGTGGAGGAAAGAAAGCTTGAAGAGAAGTTGGAGTATCAAAGGCAGATTGCGGATGAGGATAAGCATACAAATCTAGCCATGCAAAATAAGCATGCAGTTGCTGCATCCATAGCAGAGGAGGTGGAAGAAATGGATGTTATTTGCGCCACTGATTTAGGGCCAGGACTGAGAAATGTTGGTGAAAACAATTGCTTTATCAATGTGATTGTACAGGTTGGTGTTCTGTTCAAAGAGTTTTCCTTTTTTGGGGGTCTTGGTATAAATTTCATTTTCTATCCCCTTTAACCAAAGTATGATAATGAATTCATTTTATCAACCTTTTTGTCAATATGCAGTCTCTCTGGCATTTAAGAACATTTAGAGGCAAGTTTTTGAGAAGATCAACATCTGCTCATGCTCATATCAAAGATCCCTGTATTGTTTGCGAATTACATGGTATTTCACTGCCCTAAGAGAAGCTAAGGAAGGAGATGATGCTGTTTCTCCTACCACTTCAAGAATTGCTTAGAGCAAATGGCAAGATGGTAATTTCCTGGGAGTAGACAATTTTGACGGTCTTGTCATCATATTTTCACCCTTCTTCAAAGTTATAAATTTAGACGTCACTTCTGTTTCCTATGCAACTTCGGTTGCTGATTTGCTTGATTTTACAGGGACAAAAGAATGATGCTTCTGAAGCTATTTTGGATGTTCTTCATTGGTCATTTACTTTTGGTTCTGATACTAAAATTACCTGGAAGCAGTTACAGACTCGGAATTGTGATAGTGATGCTTGTATAGCACATACAGTTTTTGTAATGAACATAATTGAAAAACTGAACTATAACACTTGTAGTACTGCTGAATCCCGACAAATGAATTATCTTTGGAAATGGACAAATGCGTCTGCAATCAGACAATTGAAGACATGTTTTTTCTGAAGCATTTTATGATAAATTGTCAATTTTTCCTGTTATAGCAAAAGAAAAGAAAAGTCCATTTTGGATATGTCTTTTAAAGTTGTGTTATTTCCCAACTCAGCATGATCATCCGAATGAGCTTTTGAAACACGATATAAGGGAAAAACATCAGAATAGTTGTGGCGGCTGTAGCAAACGAAATATTCCTCACTGCATTCTTTCAACTCCTCCACGTGTTCACAATAGGTAAATTATAAGTTGTTTGAAAATATTTCATTACGCTTTGTGTTTTTTGTTTACTAGTTTTTGATTTGTTAATTGCAATTCTTAGTTGGGAGAGTCTTGAAGAGCCTGCACATAAAATATCTGCAACATTGGGAGCTCTAAGTACCAAGATAGATATTGGTGTCATCTACGAGGGTTTAGATCCAGGAAACACACATTATCTTATTTCAATGGTAAACTTGCCTTCGCTTTATACTCTTCTATCATTTAGTTCCATTTTTCATGATGGATTTAGTAAACAAATTTCCCCAAGTTCTATTGCTTATGGGCTTCATTTAAAGTCACTTTTCTTCTTCTTCTTCTTCTTGTGAAATGTTGGTTTAGTAGAATGATAGAGATGATTTTTTTTTTTTCTCTTTTCCATTTTATTGAAGAATGTCTTCTTGCTTGATTGATACTCAATTCTCATTCTTTCCCTGTAGCATAGCAAATGCACTATTACTAGTTTGGCATCACTATTTATATTTTTGGACTAAATCAATAATATGGCACAAGAACAGTTTATCTCATTAACAAATTTCCTTTTAGGTTTGCTATGGCCTAAAGCACTACATCTGCCTTGTTTACAACCGTGCGAAAGAAATTTGGATTTTGTATGACAATGATAAAGTGAAGGTACATTCAATTAAGTTACAAGATTTTATTCTTATATCTTACCTTTCATTTAGTTTGTGTAATTTATGTTTAAATTTGAACAGGTTATTGGTAGTTGGGATGGTGTTCTTACCATGTGTTCAAGAAAGCGTTTGCAACTCCAACTTCTATTTTTTGAAGTGAAGGGAAGTGTCTCTGTAACTCCTTTGGAGGAAACCAAGGTGCCTGACAATCCTTAGGAAGTATGCAAGGCTGAAAGGAAAAGATCTGGCAACCATGGCAAGACCAAGCAAGGTAAGCAACCTTTTTTTAAAGCTAGGCTATCCTGAATATCATTCTAATCTGTAAAAAATTGAAAAAATAATAAAATTGACACGGCACCTGCAAATCTCCAGGACTTGTTTGGATGGTTATATTCCCAAAGAAATATGTAGCAGTAAAAAGGGCTTTATGCCTACTTATAAAGTGACTTATTATGTATTACATACAATTATTGTTGTTTACCATCTAAGGTTGTTTTAATGCCATCATACATCTTAAGATATAGATAAAATGGGGCATATACAGGCAAGTGCTTGTGTTTTAGATTGTTGCTCTTTCATGGGTGGGGAAATTTGATCCGACGAAAGATTCTCCGAATAACTAACAAAAAAAATAAAATAAAATTGATGAAGTAAAATAAAACCAAATATTGAATTCAGTGTTCCATATTCCTCTTGAAACATAAATGAGCAAATATAAGCTTGCCACATTGAGAGGTAGCTAAAGGAGATTCCGGACTTCTAAAATTTATATTTATTTCATTTACTCAAGTAGTTGAAAACTATGGAAGGGCCTTTGCTCGGATTTCTGGTTTGTCCACAATTTTTAGAGACATCATGAGCACCATAATGAGCCAAAGGGTGCTTCAAAGCTATCCTTCGGGTTGATTTGATATTTAGAAATATTGATTTAACAGACACATTAGGGCGAGATTGTTAAATTTTGGTTTAATTTTATATTTTATTACTGTTTGTTTCTATTCAATATTCAAATTTGTAGTTTAAATTCTATAAAATTTGTGGGTTATTGTTGGTTAGTGATTTTTTAACTTCTATTATTTGTTGTAAAATTTGTTATTTGTAGCAATATACTTTATAATTTTTTATTTTTATTTTTCTGTAGATATGGATTTGGGTGATGAACACCTATTTAGTCATCTTCTTCAGAGACAGTCTAATTGTGTTATTTATGTACTTAAGGGTGACTAGGGAAACCATTCTTATGGTTATACCTCCATGCAAAATTGTGTTAAGAATTAAACTTTTAAAATTAGCATACTAGATTATAAAACTGATGAGGAGGCGTTTGAAGGGTTTATCTGCTTGAAGTCTTGCAAAAGGTTATATGTCTTCGATGGTTTCACGTTAGATAACAACATTTTATTAGTAGAAAGATTAGGGTCCAACTTTGCAACGTTCTTTCAAGATGAATACACAACATTTGTGAGAAAGGGTTAGCCTCACACTCATTGGTTTGAGTTTATCAAGGACAAATTTTGTGCAATTTTCAAGTATTGTTTTTCTTCTAATTATTATGTTTAATAATAATATTTTGTAATTATTATTTTTTGCAATTAGTTATAATTGTTGTTATGTAGGGATATGATCAACGGATTATGGCGCATATATTCATTACAATTTGTGAGTGAAGTGAGGGTTGGCGGTACTTTAGTAATTAATAATTGTGCGAAACTTTTTTTTATTCATAATCCTAACTCTGGTATGTTTAGCAAGTTATATTTTTTTTTATTTTTTATTTTAGACTCTTTATTTTAATCATTTCTTTTCTTGTTATTGAAGTTTTTTTTGTTTTATAGAAATAATCATTGAAATTTTATTGAAGTCGTGTGGCAATTGGGATGGTTCTATAAAGATGTTGGAAAATTGTTTTCATCAACTAGCTGTACCAGGTAATTTGTATTGCTTTGTGTATTTTTTGTGTGATGAAAATTATTTGTAAGTTTTATTTTAATTTTTTCAAAGCTTTGTATTTATTTATATATTTTTCAATTCACTTTTTTTTTTTTTTTTTTTGTAGGAATAATGTTGATTTGGATTGGTTACTTGATAATTTTTTTTTCTAGAATACAATGGAGAAATCTAAGTTCATTCATAAGTTGGGTAACATTTTACACGTGCAGCAAAGGTTAGATACATATACATGAATATCTTTGTGATACTTAGTATTATTGCACATTCTGGCTGGGAGAGTTTGGTTCCAAAGTCATGGCCGACTTGGGATGTCTATTGTCGGTTTGAAGCAGATATGAGAAAGGATAGCAGCAACAATAGTAATCGGCTTCAAAGTGTTAGACGTAAAATAGTAAGATACATGTGCAACTTGTTTGAACATGCAAATTTGAGCTTCCCTGTACTTGTATATTTTTTTTTTTGTCCTGTGATTTGACTTTATTAAAAATTAATTCTTCTTTTAAATTTTTGATAGATGCGTGTGAAAAAGGAGAGAATTGTTCAGGGGGAAGACAATATTATGTTTGTGTATGGAGGGACTGCTCTCCTCTTACGCCGTGCTTGCAACCACCCTTTTTTTTTATCTCCTGTCAAATAGCCCCCACCAACACTAAATGATATTTAGTGTGGTTGTTTTTTGTTTTGAAATACTAAATGGTATTTGGTTATTTATCCAAAAAACAAAAAAAAAAAATTCAAAAACAAAAAACAACCAGAGACACAATACCGTTCAGTATTGCTGGGGCATAAAAAAGTGGTGGTTGCATACACGGCGCAAGAGGCCAGCAGTCCCTCCAAACATATCATCTTCCATCTAAACAATTCTCTCCATTATCACACGCATCTATCAAAAATTTAAAAGAAGAATTAATTTTTAATAAAGTCAGATCAGAGGACAAATAAATAAATAAAGGCAAAAATTATATATACATACATGTACAGGGAAGTTGGAATTTGCATGTTCAAACAAGTTGCGTATGTATCTTACTATTTTATGGCTGACACTTTGAAGCCGATTACTATTGTTGTCGCTGCTGTCCTTCTTCATATCTGCTTCAAATCGATAATAGACATCCCAAGCCGGCCCTGACTTTGGAACCAAACTCTCCCAGCCAGAAGGTACAATAATACCATAAGTAACACGAAGATATTCATGTATATACTCGTCAAGATACGAGGTATCTAACCTTTGCTGTACGTGTAAAATATTATCCAACTTACGAATGAACTTATATTTTTCTATTGTATTCTAAAAAAATAATTATCAAGTAGGCAATGCAAATCAACATTATTCCTACAAAACGAAGAAAAAAAAATAGTGCATTGAAAAATATATAAATAAAAAAAAGCTTTAAAAAAATAAAAATAAAACTTACAAATAATTTTCATCACACAGAGAATACACAAAGCAGTACAAATCAACTGGTACAGCTCGATGAAAACAATTTTCCAGTATCTTTATAAAACCATCCCAATTACCACACGGCTTTAATAAAATTTCAATGATTATTTCCCCTAGTTCAACAAGCTCCTCAAATACTTCGTAAAATAAAAAAAAAAAAAATTGTAAAACAAAAAAAACTTCAATACCAAGGAAAGAAATTATTAAAATAAAAAATCTAAAATAAAAAAATATAACTTGCTAAACATACCAGATTTAAGATTATGAATAAAAAAAAAGTTTCGCACAATTATTGAATACTGAAGTACTGCCAGCCCTCATTCTACTCACAAATTGTAATGAATATATGTGCCGTAATCCGTTAAATATATCCCTACATAACAACAATTATAACTAATTGCAAAATATAATAATTACAAAGTATTATTATTAAACATAATAATTAGAAGAAAAACAATACCTGAAAATTGCACAAAAATTGTCCTTGATAAACTCAAACCGAGTGTAAGGCTTACCCTTTCTTACAAATGTTGTGTATTCATCTTGAAAGTACGTTGCCAAGTCGGGCCCTAATCTTTTTACTAATAAAATGTTGTTATCCAACATGAAACTATCGAAGACATATAACCCTTTGCAAGACTTCAAGCAGATAAACCCTTCAAACGCCTCCTCATTAGTTTTGTAATCCAGAGTGCTAATCCTAACACAGTTTTGCATGGAGGTATAACCGTAGGAATGGTTTCCCAAGTCACCCTCAAGTACATAAATAACACTATTAGACTGTCTCTGAAGAGATGACTGAATGGGTGTTCATCACCCAAATCCATATCTACAGAAAAATAAAAATTATAAAGCATATCGCTGCAAATAACAAATTTTACTACAAATAATAGAAGTTATAGAATCACTAACCCACAAATTTTATAGAATTTAAATAATAGAAGTTATAGAATCACTAACCCACAAATTTTATAGAATTTAAATAATAGAAGTTATAGAATCACTAACCCACAAATTTTATAGAATTTAAATAATAGAAGTTATAGAATCACTAACCCACAAATTTTATAGAATTTAAATAATAGAAGTTATAGAATCACTAACCCTCAAATTTTATAGAATTTAAACTACAAATTTGAATATTGAATACAAACAAACAGTAATAAAATATAAAATTAAACCAATATCTAACAACCTCGCCCTAATATATTTGTTAAATCAATATTTCTAAATATCAAATCAACCCTAAGGATAGCTTTGAAGGCACCCTTTGGCTCATTATGGTGCTCATGATGTCTCTAAAAATTGTGGACAAACCAGAAATCCGAGCAAAGGTCCTTTCATAGTTTTCAACTACTTGAGTGAATGAAATAAATATAAATTTTAGAAGTCCGGAATCTCCTTTAGCTACCTCTCAATGTGGCAAGCTTATATTTGCTCATTTATGTTTCAGGAGGAATATGGAACACTAAATTCAATATTTGGTTTTATTTTACTTCATCAATTTTATTTTATTTTTTTTGTTAGTTATTCAGAGAATCTTTCGTTGGATCAAATTTCCTCACCCATGAAAGAGCAACAATCCAAAACGCAAGCACTTGCTTGTATATGCCCCATTTTATCTATATCTTAAGATGTATGATGGCATTAAAACAACCTTAGATGGTAAACAACAATAATTGTATGTAATACATAATAAGTCACTTTATAAGTAGGCATAAAGCCCTTTTTACTGCTACATATTTCTTTGGGAATATAACCATCCAAACAAGTCCTGGAGATTTGCAGATGCCATGTCAATTTTATTATTTTTTCAATTTTTTTACAGATTAGAATGATATTCAGGATAGCCTAGCTTTAATA